GCCCTATATATAGATTTCATTTGAAGCCTTTGAGTTAGAAAACTTTTTCAACATTAATTAAAACTCTGCAAATCAAGATGAAGAAAGCATTCAGCAAGCTTTCACAGTTGTATCCTGTTAATAACAGTCTCTTCCCTAAACTAATGGGGTTGAACTGGAAACAATACTTTTTGAAAAGGAAAACCAGCTTACTAAATGACTCCATTTAAGCAGCTATTTTTTAAATTGTAGCTCATGAAAGTACTGCACCAGCTATGACACTGTGAAGTTTTTTTCTGAATGCAAGCAAATATGGATTCCATTTATTAATATCAAATGCTCACAAATTCTGCATGTGCAAACTCTGCTAATTCAGCCCCAAAGATGAGGAAATCTCTCTGGATGGGGAGGTGACTGCAGGCTCTCTAATGCCTTACCTGTTAGCTGCATACTTTACTTCCTATGGGTCAGGGGATGTATGAATGAATTTCAGTCTGAATGTAATTTGTGCCCTGTATCTCACAAAGTAATTTGATTTTGTTTGTGTTGTGGCTAACAAGGCTAAAAGTGAGATAACTCTCTGGTGATCATGACCTAGATAAGGACTTTTAATGATTAACTGAAAAGAGTACCTGATGTAAATATGGCTGTTTTTCAAATCTGTCCTATTTACGAAAAATATTATTGATTGTTTAAGAAAGCAATATACAGGTCACTTTAAAGCGCTTTTCACAGTAATGATGGGGAACTGATTCAACTCCACTAGAATTGTTCAACTCCACTACAGCTGATGATTATCAATCCTATATTCAAAACACTTGTTGGAAAAATTGTGAGCTTGTTTTGCAAAAATGAGAGATTAAACTAACTAAACCAACCAACATCTGAATTGCTACTTAGTTACTGAACTTCGTGGGTCAGATGGAAGCTAAATCTAAATATTCTCTGAGCTGCAAATATAAATATTTCTTTTTCTCTACTATTAGAATTCACAGAATCATAAAACAGTTTTGGTTGGAAAAGACTTTAAAGATCATCTAGTTTCAACACCTTCCACTGCAACAGGTAGTACAGAGCCTCTGTTCAAACACTTCCATGGATGGGGCATTCAGACCTTCTCTGGGCAACCTGTTTCAGGGCCTCACCACCCTCAGAATTTCTTCCTAATGTCTACTGTAAATCTGCCCTCTTTCAGCTTAAAATAATTTGCCCTTGTCCTGTCATGACAAACAGTTGTAAAGAGTCCCTTTTCAGCTTTTCTGTAGGCCCCTTTATGTACTTAAGGCTTGTGTTTGATATTACTTATCTAAAATCACCCTTTACTTCTCTGAACAGAGCAACACAAGTCTTCACAGGAGAGGTGCTCCAGCTCTCTCTGATCATCCCTGATCATGGCTTTCTCTGGACTAGCTCAAGCAGGTACAAGTCTCTCTTCGTCTATGCTGGGGGGCCCAGATCTAGGTGCAGTACTCCAGGTGAGGTCTCATGCAAAGACTTCAGCAAGGCCTTCAACACTGTCTCACACAATGTCATCATAAGCAAACTCTGAAGTGTGGGCTGGATGAGTGGAAAGAATTGTGGAATAAAACTGGCAAGCTCAATCGTCAAGTCACAGATAGTTTTGGGGTTTTTAAACAAAATATTTCTATTTTGCTGGTTGTGTTAAGAGAATTACTGTCTGTTTGAAATTAAGCACCAGCAAATATGATTCATAGTGAGAGAAACCTCTCTTTTGGTTGGAGTACAGACCACCAAGCATGAGAGAACTGTTCAGCAAACCCTGTTATTCCAGGCTGGTCTTAGTCACGGGAGAGAGATGGCACTTGTAGGAAATTTGTATCCCTTTGAAGACTTCTAACAGAAGTTTTCTTCTCTGTTTATTCATACTGACTATAGTTAAAATTCATATTTACAACCTAGAATCTAAAGAAAGTATGAAAGGTGTCATCTAAAAATTCTATTGTTACATGAAAAGCTCCCATGTAGTGCCCCCTAATTTGTCTGCAAAAGGAACACAGCATGCTATAGCATAGTTGTCTGATAACGAACATGGTAGTGTATGCCATTGATATTCATTAGCTTCTTTCAACAGTTTCCAACAAGGATTCATGTGGATATACTGAATAGAAAAGACTTTATTTTGATCACGACTGCAACATATTTACATTGAAAAATTACCATAAATTTTAAGGCTACCATGGTGGATGTTTCTTCTAAGAATTTGAACAGATGATTCCTGTGCTGCTTCACTTCTTATTGTCATAGTTTCTTACTTTTTTGCTAAGGTATGGTGCCACAGACTTATGCCTTATGGTGAGTTCTTAAAATAGTAAATGAGAGGATTTTGCTCTTGCTTTTTTAGTTACTTGGCTTTAGCAGATTGCTTTTCATGTTTCCTTTGTTGGTACCCCCATATCTTCTGCAGTAGTTCCCTTCTGTGATCATCCCTTTCCTCAGAGAGAATCTTCCCAGAGACACATCTTTCAGGAAGTTTAGCAACATAAAATCTCCATCTTAAGTGTCTGCTTGCTGGTTTGTAATCAATATAGCTTAGTGACACTGTGCCCTCCAGTCACCTATATTGCTATCTTGCCAATAAGTTCTTGCTGAGACTGCAAGCTGAGCCATGTGGATGACATGATGAGGCTCTTCCCTAGCTGGTGTACTTTTCTGGATACTCCATGACATGAATTATGAGAACAGCAAAACCAGGAGGATTTCTCAGTAGGCAGGATCTCTATAAGCTACATTTTGAATGTTCCCCACAAGAATTCAAAAAAACTTAGTAGCATCTGAAAAGGCTTTCAATTATTCTGTGAATTATAGCAGAAGTGTTTTTAATCTTCCTTCTTAACATACAGCTGTTAAGACATTTTACTAGGATTCTATATGCCCCAAGAACAAACCTATGCATATTTCTGCGCCGATGCCATGAAATTTGTTGCCATGGAAATATCAAAACCAGCTTATAACTAAGAACAGGCAAACCCTTTCATGCAAAATAGTATCCAGCCTCAATTTCCATTCAATAGTCAAAATGAATTGTAGCCATTTTCGTGCTTTATAGTGGCTTCATAGCTTTGTTATATCATTAAAGTCTTTCAACCACTTATATCCAGTGCACACAGGTTCCAGATCATCCATTTCAATGCATGATTAGGGCACAGAAATTCCAGCAGCATCTCTGAGAAATCAGACTAAACTAAATTATATTAAATTATCCTTACCATTCTTTGCCTTTTCTTGCTGCCTTTGAATTTATTGGCAAAGAAGAATTTTCTAGATTAACTGGAGAGCAGACTGAAGTACCTTCTTTCTAAACTTTAAAATTTCAGATTATTCATGGCTGACATGTAGAGTACACTCTGAGGATTAACTGAATGGAAACCTTCCATTCAGTTAATTTAAATTAACTGAATGGAATTTAAAAAGAGCAACAGCATCTTCCAACAGAGAGTGCCTTGGGTCCTGCTGTCGGAACAGCTTCTCCTGCTGGAGAAAAGAAGTTGACCTCAGGCAAATAGCTGTGGGAGAGCATGTAAGGTAGTGTTCACAGGCATGCACATCTTCTCTTCTGGATATAAATTTATTTTACTGTCATGAATTTCACTATGTTTTCTAAAGTTAGTTCCTTCGAGTTAAAGAATGAGCCCTATATTTGAATATCTCTGTCTCCAGTTAACATATTTCTGGATAACTGTGCTATGAGACAAAACACAAAATCAAAAATAGATATAATATCCATAACTGAAATGGTTTATAGAGAGCAATTTGAAACCAATGCACAGAATTACCTCTTCAAGAAATATATTAACAAAGGATCATTAATAGAATTTGTCTATATATATAGCTATATCTTCTTTCTATTATTTAATTAACATGATGCTTTTCTGTTTATAGTATAGATTTAAACACATAAACTTCTATCCCCTGATGAGCCTACACACAAATGTTCATACTGAATGAGTTCCTAGAAGAATAAAACTGTACAGAACTGCCAAGACTGGGTCCTTTTAAGGTGAGAGGTTAGCTGAAAAAAACCCATTGATTTTAACACATTCCAGAGCCTAAAGGCAGAAACTACTGAACATTGAAAAGCTACACTGCTCCTCAAAATTGCTGAAGTATCATTTCTTATTTAGAGATACAAATGTATAATTCAATTAAAAAGATGAGGCATTTTGAAAATTACAGAAAATTGCATTTCTGGTTGTTTAAATGATAATTTGCCTGTTTAGTAAGTGTCTGTATACTTTCATCAAGAAGAAAAGCAAATGCTCTTTCACTCTGACAGAATATGATAGAGAAAGTAATACCCGGAGAATTACACAGTGTAAGTTGTGAATTAACACGATGTAAAAAATATGGGGTTCAATAAAGTGTATTTCCATAAAGACATCCAAGATGAAGTTGTCATCAAAACAACCAAAAGTAGCGTGGGGTAAAATTTTCCAAAATATTAATGTAATTTACACTGCTAGTCTTCTTTTTAAGTCAATGTTTACTTAGAAATAATACTATCTTTTAAAAGAAAATTTCTTTCTCATACAAATGTTATAAAAATAGGACTTACAATTCTAAATCAGAAAATTCCATTTTGAACATTTCTCTTTGTAGCATAAGCACTTTTAAAGTGAAGATTTTGTGTCTGCATTGCTACATAACTCTATGTCCCAAAAAGAAAGATTAATGGATTACTCATATCAGTTTTTTCTGCTAGATTTCCTTGCAAAAAGTTACTAATAATTTATTAATAACATGGTCACATACTGGTATATAAGGAAAGATAATTGGGAAGGAATTTAAATTAAAACAGGAATAATAAAATAGAAATCAGAAGTTAACAGGACAGAACACTAGAAGTCACCAGTTTGAGTCACTGTGTGACTCAAAAACTCAAAGCCTTTTTAATAAAACAGATATAGGCATATTAAGGGATGTAAGTATATGAAACAATATATATTTACTGTTATAAAATGCATTTTTCATTTAGATGCTTTCTATAAATCAATTATTCTTACCTGTTATAGTTGCTTTGTTAATAGATGGTTGGCTACACATTGGTGATCTTCTGTTAAAAAGGAAATGAAAAAAGGTTTAAGCCTGAAAAATGCACTGATCACTGAATTCTTGAACAATACAACAGAAAATATATTACCTGGGAATTTATTTGGGAACTTCAGGACAGGAATATTTTAGAAACTTACAGGTTTATTAAAAACCTGCCTAATCACATCTAGAGCAAATGCATAGCTTGAAATGTGACTTATAATACAATGACATTCATTTCTTTGGAATGCTAATTACTTCTAGGTCTCGAGATGCATGCTTTGGGTGAGGGAAGTAACTTCTCTACATTTGCCAGTGTAACTAACATTAGTGTTAACTGTGATGCTGTAACATGAGTGGAGAGAGATAATATTTATGCTGCCTAACTTATAGTTATGAACTACTGTGTATAGGTAGGGTATCACTACCTTGAATGAGTGGAGTTCTAGGTTCAGATCATGCAAGCAGATCTCAGTGAGCGCAGCTGTCTGCTCACTCTGTTTCATTTGCAATACTCAGACTGTGCCTGAATGGTCATCTTTGAATGATCTTAGACATATCACTATCTAAAATCACATAAGGTGAAAAAACCTACTCCAGGTTTCTGCAAGGACAACAATTGAAGGATCAATTAGAAGGCAAGGAAGCTATTGTCTCAGCCACCAACTATAACATCTTTAGGGAATTATAAACTTATTCCTCATCATTGTTTTATGCAGATTTGGTGGCACAGACTGAAATCTATAACTCCCATTTGTCTCCTAGCTTACATTAAAAAAGTACCACTGCAAAAAGTTCAGTGGCCAAAAAATGACACTCACTTGCTGGGTGCCCGGTCTTGTAAATTGGTTAATGCAGCAAAGTTATTCCGGACAGTACGCAGGCTGGCCAGAACCTGGAACAAAAAAAGTGGTTTCAGTATCAATTTCTGCACAAGTGAGACTGATCTATCTCTGCTCCACTGTGGTGAAAAAAAAATGGAAAGCACGTTGCAAAACCACTGCAAAAGTTTTCCTGGGCACGTTAATCTGGAACCTTTGGCTATTATTTGACAATAATACGCCTGTAATACAAAGGCAGTAGTTTACATCTATTTTTTTGTTCCCCTCACAAACAACTCATTTTCTGTCTGAAGGCAGGCTGACTTGCAGGGGAGGAAAGTTCTTTTTAAATAATTCTATTTATTTCTTTAAAATAACAAGAAAAGCATTTGAGTCTGGAAGATAATAGCCCATTCAACTCAAATATTTCATGCATACAAAATAATCACAAAATCTTAATTTGCAGTTCAGTCCCCATAAACTCCAAAGGACAAATGGAATGAGATTTTTGAGACTGCTAGGAAAGGAAAAAAGCAAAAATGTCTCCTCTAAGAGGCACAGTTGATTTAGGGACTTAGTGCAGAAGGCCAGAAAAAGAGGAAGTTATCCCCTGAGAATGCAGGAAAAGTCTACAGGCTCTTACAAGCTTTACGCATTGGAGAAGACAACATAGATTAACTGCTTCCTTTCTGGACTTAACTTAATGCAAGATAGCAGACAGTGAATGCAGTGAAGTGTCTTCAATTATAAGTGGCATAAGCACTCTCTTCTGAAGGCAGCTGGGCAACATGTAAAAGATTTTGTGCCATGTGAGGGTAAAACGATGAACCTCTCTCTCAGGAGAGAGGTTGTTCAGCTGATGTCAGAGAGGAATTGTGAGTTTGTTGGGGCTAGGCTGGAAATGGGAGAAAGCAGGAACACTAATCACTGGTATGTCTTTGCAGAAGTTGTAGATTTTTTTTTTCTCAGCCCAGACTGGGCTGGGTTCCTGGTGAACCCATCTGAAGAATAACAAAAGCAGCAATGAGAAGCTGGGTTTCAGAGATCTGAGTTGAGGAGTGCACAACCCTCTTTTCATAGCACCTTAAATGTATACTGGAGGTAGGAAGTGAGTAGGACACTGAAGAAAAAAAAAGAATAAACTAATGAAAGTTTGTGACAGAAAGTATTTAAGAATTAGCAATGACTGGCAGTGGTCAAACTATTGGAGGTAAATTCCAAAGAAGTTAAGATAATAAAAATATATTTGGCTAATTAAATAGTATTAATTTTGCAATATTTTTATTTCCAAAAATCAGGAAGCAAACAGACTTATTTTTAATTAAGCATGGATTGAAACCAATTATATATGTCATCAAATCTGCATATTCAGGGTGCAGTGAAGATTTCAGAGTATTTCATAGAAGGCCCTTGCTTAATATTTTCTCTGCTAGTAAAAGATGATGGTTTTATTCATAATAAGGATTTGATTGAGTCTTATAAACACTGAATCTCTTTTCGATATAATGGAATATATAATAAAGTATTTAATTAATATACTTTTAATAACTTATTATTTGACCAAATCAACCTGCATAGTGTGGCTGAAGCTGCTACATAAGTTTAGATGTGACATATGTGTTATATATATATATGACATATGATGTATATAATATGATATATAATATATATGATATATATCATATATATAATATATGATATATTGTATATATTATATATTATATATATTATATTCTTATAATATTCTTATTTTACACTGCTGTGTGACTCAACCTTTTTCTTTCCATTCACCTTCAACCACATATGACTTCATAATTACAGTAATTTGACTTAAATTCCTATCTGTTTTGGAGTAAAACCCATCATCAGGAGTTCAAAGAAAAGCAATGTTAATTTTTCATACTTTATAAGGAAGCTCTCTTGTGAAAAACTGTGGCTTTTTATTCTGAATAATAAAGAATTTTGAACTGGTATTTTATAAACCAGAATCTGAATAGAAAAAACAAACCTGGTTTTGTAAGGGAACATAAGTGTTCTGGGTAAAATTTATCTCATTTCTAAAAATCTCATTGTATTTTATTCATAAAAGATGTTCAAGTGGAGAAATTGTAATTTAAAAAATGACAGAACAGGAATCAGAGATTTGTCTTAATCAAGAATGCCTGCTACAGTATTTGGAAGAGATCAAAGGTGTTTGTCGTGCTGTGGCACTTCAACTTTTCAGATAATCAAAAAGTGCTAAGAGAGGTATAGTTAACAGAGTGGGAGGTTTACGACTTTCTGTTGAAACACTTTTCTTGTTTCAGGCAAACATATATAATATCAACAACAGAAAACAACTGGTTTGGCCATTTTGTCTTTAAATTACAAGGCCACATGAGAAATATGACAAAGCCGTTCCTACCTGAGCAAATGGTGTCACAATCAAGTCATCTCCATGTCTGAAAAAAAAATAAGCAGAATTGTGAGTTAGGTATCACCAAAAATTTGCTGCTTTAACAGAAAGAAAATCAGGTTTCACAATGCAGTATAGGTAATACCAGTTTTCTTCTTCTTCAGTTACACTTTATTATTGCTCCACACATATTTTGAAAAGCAAGTATCAACTTAGTTATTACCCAACTGCCTTGCAAGTCTATGGGAATGTTCACAGACCAGCCTCTTTCTGTGCTGTGGGTATGGCAGGTGACTGACCATCCGGGATTAATCTACAGACATGTCACCCCAAAGGATAGAGGTGAATGTTCCAAAAATGACCCTGTGGAGGGTTGTCACCAGGCTTGTGAGGACAGAACAGGTGCTGGGAGGCACATCACAGATGAATAAAAACCTACTAAAACTTCCAAACTGACTGAGACTTCTGCAGTTATAGGGTCTGTGACCAAGGATGTGCTGTCACTGTGACAACCTCACCTCCACGGGAGGGATGCATGGACAAGGTGCCAAGATGGCCCACTGTAGGACAAAAGGCAGGAACAGAAAATAGGATTCCTACTCTTCAGCATGAAAAACTACTAGTTGAAATGATTGTCAAAAACTACAGTCCTGTAAACACAAGTAGACAGAAGGGCACAAAAGTGGCATCTGCAGCACTGAGGATATAGAGTCAAAACATAGGGACATGAAAATTTTAGCATTTTTAGTTATCCTATCCAGTACATGGCAGCAATCAAGGTGAAAAGACATTTTCCAAAGGCAAAAAGCCAATATGTTTTTAATTTTCTTGTACTTCCCTGTAGTGAATTTATCATAAGTAGCAAGTTCCAACTTCTAACAGAAACTACCATTGATTTGGTGCTATTTTACTGTTATTTAAGTTTAAGCATAAAATATGAGTTTTGAACATTGGATTTGAAGTCCATGAAAATCTAATCAGAAAAAGGGTGATAAATGGAGAAATGTGACTTGTGGTTGATTTGCTACAACACTATTCCTATAATTTGCATACTGTCCACAAGACAGCAATGGTTTGCAGGTATTGCAAGAACCTAATTAAAAAGCAGTATGTGCAATCTGTACAGCAGTACAATCAGTCTGTAAGGATGAAACAAAACTCCCCAATATTCAAGATCATCAGAATATTTAATAACTCTGTAACCATTTTTATTATGGTTACACTCTTTTATTCCTTTTGTAATAGAAGAATGGATTTTTAAACACCCTGTGGAAGAAATCTGCACTTTGAACATATTCTTGGCAGGAGTGGTTGGAATAGGGTGTTGCTTCAGGTGAAACCAGACTGGACAGAAAGCATATAAGCCTGACTCTTAGAACAAATCAAAATAAACGTGCCCTCCATAGGAGGAACTCAGAGGTATTAATTGCTCAGGGAAGCCAAATCCAGTCGGGTATAATAGACAACATGAATCAGCCCAGAGCATTAGCAGGGGAGTTAATGACCAGCTGGGTTTAGTACCTCTTTATGTTTTCATTGAGTCAGGAAAACATCAGCAAATGCCCTACACTATAATTTTAGATAAGGGTTGCTTAATGAATTACACAAAGGCTTTAGCAGAAGATAAGCCAAGTGCCTTTTTTTCTTTTTTCTATCCTGTTCTCCACTGAAAGAGAGTGTGACTATGCTACTTCACTTCCAGGAAAATTATGCTTTTTGTCTTCGAGTTCTGTGAAATGGCATTATCTGATATGTGACAGCTGGCTTAAATGTTTCTCAGTAGTCCTTTAATTTCTTATCTTTTATAAAGGATATTTTTATTATTTGCATAGAGCTATTCAATTTTTTGCTTCTTTTTTGACATTTAAAGGGGGCCCAGTTCAGAACATAAAACCATTTTTTTAAACAGCACATTTGAAAATTATGAAAGGACAGAACTATGAAGATGAAAATGTTTACAGGTAGCAGCAGTGCTGGACAAAGAACAAAAATTCAATTGTTTCTACCTGTAAATAAGACAGTAGAGACATGAAGATGGTTCTTTCTATCATCTGTCAGTGGCAAACACTCTGAATGCCCAATATATGACACAAATGCACAAAATATTCACCAGTGCCTCAAAGTACCAGACAACTCCTGAAACATAGTCACTACCAGTTAATTTCAGATTGGCAAAAAATATAAAAGTAAGATTGTCCTCCTCAAAATCTCTTGTGGGATTCTTTATTGTAGATGGTACTTCCTCTCCTTCCCATTTAGTCCCTGTTTGCCACCCTGTAGATGCTGAGGCACCCATAAAAGGCAACAGCTACAAGATCCTGGCTTTCTGTCCTGGAGGATCTTTTATTCTTTTATGTAAAATAATATGATCCCACTTTTTTAATTTTCAAACTTGAGTTGTTTCTGGACTGCATTTCATTAAAGAACACTGATGTCATACTGTAGCTTGTTATTCTTTAGAAGGGGCATGAATAAGTAGTAATTTAATGTACTGAAATCAAGCCAGGACTTAATTTTCACTTTTCAAATCCCCCTCGTGTCAAGAGCAGCAAATTCAGACATTATTATTATTTTGGTGAATCTGATACTCAAAGTACAGATATCCCCAGCTTTTGCAAAATAGTTAAGCACTCACCAAACCACTTGTACTGCAATGCAATCATAAAAGGTGGTGAGCAACCTTTGATCCACATTGGGTCAGAAAATGTGGACAAGGTGAGAGGGTTCAAAAATAGAGCAGACATGTCCAAAGAAGCTGTGGTAATTTTAATACAGAAGAGCAAGAGCACTTGATTCAAAATGCCATTGACACACAGTGTACTACAGTGTGATAAACATGACAATTTATCCTTTCTAGATGACATGAAAGCTGATGGGTGATTTGTTCTGGATTCCCATCAGAAGGGTAGTGCCACTCATCTGTATACAGAAGCAAGTGTAAATACTGCAATGTCTCAAACTTCTAAATATAGACAGAGGTATTAGCCTCTAAAGCTAGAAGAAATTGTTCACATCAGTGTTACTTAACTAGAATGCCTGGCATATTTGTTCACATCTTCACTTTTCAAAGGAAATAGAGGTTTGCAAACAGAAATTTTTTCACAGACCCTCCCAAAATTTAAAATGATCAGTTCTCCACCACCAAAGAACATTGCTAAAACATGCACCAGCCCACATGAGATTAATGATTGTTGCACAAAACACAAGCAAAATTCTCTTTAGCAGACTGAATATTACACACCACATTGCAAGCTATTAGCCACAGGAAAGTGGTGAAGCCTAAACTTCTGCAAATTTCTGACTTTTTCTTCATAACATTTCCTATATGACACTTGAACTCACACCATATAACTAAGGCTGATCCCCACCCTGAAGAGGAGATGAAAGTTCTCTATTAAGTCAGAAGCTAGTTGAACATGTTCAGTACAAAATTCTGCTATGTTTCCTCAGGATTTGCCTCAATTTGTCTCTTCTATCCCAATCACAGAATAGTAATTAACTTTTCCCCTAATAATAAGGAATTTAGAGATGCATGGACAGACAGAGAAGCAGGTAGGAAGATTAACATAAGGATAAGACAGGGTGACTGCATAAACTTTACTTCATAATTAAACTGTCATAATTTAATATAACATCTAATAGAGAAGTAACTAGAGAGATGTTCTGCAGACCTATCAGGATACACTTAAAAAATAGTGGATGTTCTTTATAGTGGTTAGAAAAAACTCATTATATCTGTTAAGGAGAAGGAAATCCCAGGCTTTAGAAACCACAGGGAGACTGAGCTCCTGTGGAGCTCCATAGAGAAGGTCCTCAAGGTTTGTCTTTCTAAAGGCCAAACACAGATTAAAGATTTTCTAGGTCTTTCTAGACTTTCACATGAATACCGACTGAGTGATCTTGAGGACATGCATTGAAGTTATGAGGTATAAACAGGATCAATAGGAGCTCTGCCTTATATAAATAGAGGGGAGAAAACATACAATACATATTTATACCAGTTTGCCACAAATGTACCAGTTTAAATTATGATTTTATTGGTTTGCAACACTCCTCCCCTTGAATCAAAACCTTACTTATATTCTCAGAAGAAGTACTGGCTGAGGATGCTGGTGAGGCCTTAAATCCAACTAGTATAGTCCATGTTGTATTCTCTGGCTAAAACTTTGGACACAGACCATTTGAAAGAATAAAGCTGCCAAATGAATTGAAAAGCCCAAGAGGACAGTGGCTGTACGGAATCCCTGAATGAAGTTCCACATCAAGAGCTGAAGCTTTCATCACACTGTCATATGAAATTACTCCATTTTTAAAGAATTGTATAAGCAAGAAGATGGACACTAAGGTAGTCTTCTGTTTGGGTCAGAAAATACATGGCAGCTGCCTTTTGCAGTGTAAACATCTAGATTTGGATTAAACATTGCAGCCACTCATTTCTGTATACAAGGCTGTATACTTACTGTCCAATAGTGTGTCTCAGCTTAGATGAGACATTTGCATTTTGTTTACACATATACTGGAACACAATTATACCACAGACAAAACCACAAATGAAAGACAGAGAATAAGCTGATGGAGTATCCTAATTGCCAGGATTTTCTTTTCTGTCCCAATAACATTTCACAGTTGAAGCCAAATATGCACCCACAAAACATATGAATTAAGTATGCTGAAGTATTCACGTTGCTCAGGTTCACATTTTAGCAACAATGAAAGCTGATTCTAGATTGCACTCTGATATGGCAATGGTAATGATACTAAGCTGCACTTTGAGGAAAGTGAGCAGCAGAGGCTGCTCCATGCAGCTTGGTATTTATCATCATCATCTACATTTGAAAAATACAAATGGGTTGGTTTGCAAAAGTGATTTTGTGAAGTCAGAATCACAGTGTTCCAAGTCAGCTTATTCTGCAGGAACAGTGCTTAAGTTATATCATCTCAATTTTTAGGCTTTGAGAAAAAAATCTTCTAGCCTTGAGGTAGCTTAGGCCTTGCTCAAAAAGCCAAGACTAAATGAGTGTAAGTGGCATCTCTTCATGTTTTTTC